TCTCTTACACTATGATCCACCCTGTCTCGACGCCGAGCTCATCCCTCTGGAGCCAGATCCTCCTTCGATCTCCATGGCTCCCATCTCTACTTCCCACCCCCCGCCGTCCGTCGAGTCCACCCCGCCGTCGCGCGCTGACGCTGACGCTGAGGAACTCGCACGATATACGGCTGACCTGGAGCCCGCGGTTCGTGACCTCATCCGAGAGTACCACGACGTTTTCCCATCGTCGTTCTATGCCGGCATCCCATCGATGTGTGACGTCGAGCACTCCATTGAGCTTGTGCCTGACTATCGTGTTTACCACCAGGCACCCTACAGACTCTCGGTCCCCGAGGCCACCGAACTCAAGCGTCAGCTTGAGGAGCTCCTGAGATTGGGTTTCATTAAACCCAGCAACTCCCCGTGGGGTGCACTCGTCCTCTTTGCTCGCAAAGCGGATGGAACTCTTCGTCTCTGCATCGACTACCGCGGTCTCAACCGCTACACGGTTAAGAACAGCTACCCCATGCCTCGTTCCGATGAGCTGTTCGATCGCCTACCAGGCAACCGCTTCTTTACGAAGATTGATCTTCGTAGCGGTTACCATCAGATCCGCGTCGCTGCAGCCGACCAGCCGAAGACCGTGTTCCGATCGCGCTTCGGCCACTACGAGTTCACGGTGATGCCATTCGGCCTCACCAACGCACCCGCTACCTTTCAGAGGGCGATGAACGACATCTTTAGGGACATCCTGGAGCAGTACGTTCTCGTCTACCTCGATGATATGGTGGTCTACAGTCGTACCCTTGAGGAGCACCTCAGACACCTCCGCGACGTCCTTGACCGCTTGCGCAGACATGGCTTTTACGCCAAGCTGAGCAAGTGCCGCTTTGCCCAGCACAAAGTGGATTTCTTAGGACACTACGTGTCTGACCAGGGTCTCCACATGGACGACGTGAAGATCATTGCTATTGCGGAGTGGCCCGCTCCCACATCCGCCAAGCAGCTTCGCAGCTTCCTAGGCCTGACCAGCTACTATAGTAATTTCATCCAGGG